CAAAGAAAATACTTGGTTTGGTCCAAGTGTTATTGGTATTTGTTATGGGCTGAGTTGCGTCCCCTAATCATGTCTGGGAGTGTGGCCTTCTTTGGAAATAGACTTGTTAAATATGATGAACTATATTAAGATGAGGTCTTGCTGGAGTAGATGGAGTCCCCAATCCAGTATGACTGGTGTGCTTATAGGAAGATGGCCAAATGAAGACTGAAGGAGAAGCACAACAGAGATAGAGACAAACATTACAGTGACACATCTTTAAAGCAAGAGATGCCAAGGATTGCCGGCCACCACCAGAAGCTAGGGAAGAAGCATGGAACAGACTCTCCCTCAAAGCCTTCTGTCCTCCAGAACTGAGAGAGTAAAGTGCTGCTATTTTAAGCCACCAATTTGTGCTAATTTGTTATGAAAATTTGTTTAGGAAACTAACACAGTATTGTTGTGGGTAGATTCTTAAAGCTCACTGAGACCATGCATTTATAAAGCATCAGGAAAGAGAAGCCTTTAACATTCATTTTAGCCCTATTTAGTCTCCTCTGATGCTTGAAAACCCTCACCTGCATTCCTACTACATAGTGTTTCAGATTGTGCTTGATCGCTCCCAGTGACCAGGAACTCACTCCCTATCATTACAACCAGTAGTTCTTTCTCACTACTAGAAAAACTGTTCTTTATATAAGGTCACAATCTCTTTCCTTATAGATTTCCCCCTTTTTGTGGTAAAAGGGGGATCCAATCCCTTCAAATATGTACAGCCCTTCAAATGTTTACAGTTTTTGAACAAGTCACGTTCTTACGTATATCAGTTTTTGAAAATGCAATCTCTTCTGGGTAGAATGAACTTTTGCTTGTTACCAAAAGAGTAATTTCTTAAGATGGTTTCCATGCTATCTCCTGATAGACTAGGTTATGCTGTGAGAAAAAGCTACTCCCAGATCTGTGTTTCAAAAGCCAAAGAATTATTTCTCTCTCCCGCTGCAAATCCACCATGACTCAGCAAAGGAACTCTGTTTACTGAAGTGATTTAGGGACCCAGAGTGACAGAGCAGCCACCATCTTGCACACAGCCAAGTCACCTTGGGAGGGAAAAGGCTCCAGCAGGTGTTCCCTCAGCAGTTAAATGCACCACCTGGGAAGGGATGCTCATTTCCTCACAGCTCATTGGAGAGAACTAGTGACATGGTCTTTCCTAACCAAAAGGGAATTGGAAAATGTGGTCCTACTGTGTGCCTGGAAGCCAGATCAGAAATACTTGACCAACAGCACTAATGGTTACTCAACTCTCTCTGCATCATTTTCCCTGCTGCCCTGGCAGCTTAGAGACGCTGTGTCAGCCCTCTCTGGGCAGTCCATGAACTTGTCAATCATGTTCATTACCAATTGCATTAGCATTATATTTACTTGCATTTTTATCTCCTCTTTGAGACTGAGAATTTCTCAAGGACTGGGAGTAGGTCATAATAAATATTCGATATATGGATGCATTTGAGAACAGTGACCACGACATCCACAGTGAAAGCCAATGTCCCCTCAGAGGTTTGCAGCACCATACATGATCTGGACCCTCTACTTCTCTAACCTCATCTCCCTCATGGGCTCCCTCACTTAAGACCCCACCATACTGTCACTTGGACTTCTGAGGTCTATTCCTGCCTTAGCGCCCCCACACTTACTGTTCCCTTTAGTAGGGCTATGCATCCCCTGCCATTTGCTCAGCTCATAACCCCACTTCTGTGAGGTCTCTGCTTAGCTGTCATCTGATCAGAAAAACCTTTCCAACCTTGCTCTATAAAATAGAACCACGATGCGCCCACCCTATTAACTACTCTACTTTCTTATCCTTTATTTTTTTCCACAGCAGTTACTCATTCCTCACACAAACACACACAGACATGTATAACACTATTATGTATTAAATATCGTGTAATATACATTTTATATGATATACATATTTTTGGTAATTATTTATTCTGTCCACTTCACCACCCTCTCACACACACAAGTGAATGTAATTTCTATGAACAAAGAGCAGAGATATAGTAGATACTCAATAAATATCTGTCAAATGAATGAGTGATAAAGGAAAAAATGTACCTCCTGAGTCTTCACAACTCTGAACCGAATGCTAAATTAAATCCTTTCATATAACAAGATTTGAGTCCTTTCAATATTCTAGGCACCCAGAAGTGAGCAGAACAAAGCTTTGTTTATCTTTCATATATTTCAGTTAATAAAACCTAAATTGAAATAAGTACTTGAGGGTCACAAAAATCACATTGTTAACTGACTCATAGTAAATTTAGTTATTGACTAAAATCTTAAGTGTTTTTCACATATAAAACTATACCTTTCCCTGTCTTCAAATTTTCAAAGCTGTTGTTTGGGACATAAATGTAGGGCCCAAAATTTTTTTCTCTCTTGATTTCCCTGTCACTTGTCTTTCTTTACTTTATAACATCATTTATTCTCTCACTCATTTGTTGAGTGTCCACTATGTGCAAAAATCGACATTAAATGCTATAGCGTATTATGTGATAATTTTATAATTTCCATCAGTATAGAAGTTATTCAGCAATGTCAACATGGATTCAGAAAAACACACTTTAGTTCAGTAAGAGAGAAAGAAAAGCCCTTTTTATTCATAAAGGACTGACAGCAAAGCCATTCCTGGGGTGCTTTCAATTACAGAAGGGCAGAAGTGATACTCGAAGGCTGCAATGTTTAGAGCACCTCAAAATGAAAAGGCAAGTAAAGCCTTGTATGAGAAGGGTTTGTGAAGAGCCTGCAGCTATAAGGTCAGTTTGGTTCAGATATGTGTCTCCACGTATCCCCAAGGTAGGTTTACCTTATCTAGATGTGACCAGTGGATTACCATCTTCCACAGCACTCCAAGGACCTCACTCATTTTTTTTCAAAGCCATGCTAAGGATTGGACTTTTCTGATGTTCACAAGCGGATAAGACATTTCACACATTCAGATAAATTCAGGGTAGTCTTTGAATAGGAGAAGAACCAGAATAACTATCCTGCTTATCTGAAAACCATATTTATTTTAGTTTATACCAGGTACTGAGTATTATTCTAATAACAACTGAATTATCACTCCAACCTCATAAGGTAGGTACCATTATTATCTTCACCTTATAGAAAGGCAACAGGAGCACAGAGAGGTTAAGTGATCTTCCCAGAGCTAGAAAGTAAAGGGACAAAGTTCTGAGCAGAGACATTCTATCTCTGGAGCCCACACTCTCAGTAACTCTGGTCTGTTCTGCTTCCTTGCCATACTGGAAACAGGGACATATAACCTAACAGCTGAGTAATAAAACATGATTTCATGCTAGTCACCAATACAAGTTATTCCTAATTCAATCAACCCTCAGACATTGTCCAGAGCTGAAACTGAAGAGAACGGTGAATAACTTGAGGAGTTAATGAGAATGGATTAAATGAATTGGAGAATGATTCAACCTTTTTGTCCCCTGAGCACTTACACAGTAATTCATGTATTTATTTATCCTTTCATGCATCTGCCCATCCATTCATTCAACAACCATATACTGAGCACTGTCACTGTCCTAGACAGTCACTGCAGTTATATTGCAGATAAGACATGGTCTGACCCAAATCCACTTAGTAGTCCTTATAAGAAGCAGGCACAGAGAACCTGTGGTTAAGTGCTATAAAAAGAAGTCTCATGGAAGAGTCGGAGGTTATTTCAGCCTGCATTTGGAGAAATAGATGAAAGGACAGGAGGTAGAAGACAAAAGAAAAATGCTTCATGGAAGAAGGAACATTGAATCAGGCCCAAGCAAATCTAATCTCAATATTCCTAGGAACAGTCTAGAATATGCACACTTTCCATCAGAGACAAGAGAACACTGAACACCATTTCCAAGAAAGATATTGGAGCACAGTAAAGAACACAGTTTTGAGGGTCATTCAAGCCTACCTTCAAATACTAACCTTTCTAGGCAGAAATTGCTGCATTGTAAGATCAAGTATTATAAGGTGCCATCATCGGGCTGTCCTGAGGGTCATGATCACATGCATCCTGTGCACCTGCAGTGAGTATTAGCCACCACTTTTACCTTCTCAGACTCACAGCTACTCTCACTTGGTCCCTTAGTCCTTAATCTTCTTAGTAACTCTAACTTTATCTTGAGAACCAAAGTGTGTAAGTTTTTTTCTCTTTTATATAGGGAATATAATTTTTATAAATCTAATTTTCACTACTGTGAATTTATTATATTCCATGGTTCTTGGTGACTAGGTAGCCAACAGAGGAGCTAAATCATTATTTTAGCAATTGAAACAGGACCTCAGAAGAAAGGCACCCTATGGTCACAGAGCACTGGAACTGTACTAATGAGAAGATTAGAACAAAGTTCAGCTCATACCGTCCCAGCTAATCACAAATGTACCCAAGGATAATTAACAATCACAATTACCTGGAACTATATTTTTTGGCTGGTTGGTTATTCTAAAGTCAACCTGCACTGAATTGATGAGCTTAAAGGAGTTAATGAATAAGTAATTTGAAGTGACTGGTGGGGCCCCTTCATAATAAATATCTGGGGAAATGGAAGAGAACACAGAAGACTCCATTGTCTCCTTTACCCTGATTCTTACCCAGAAGTGAAAGGAAGCTCTGAGCTCTCCTTAGAGGAATAGCCTGTACACAAAACCTCACTCAGCCCTACTTCCAGGAACTCCTGGCCTACCATATTGGACTCATGTATTCTAGGCCAAAATGGCCTTATGCAGAAGCAGTGTCCATTTTCAGGCATCCAATCTCTGACCTCGGTAGCCACTGTCCCTCCTCAATGCCCCCCATGGAGAATCTTTGTTTACCTATGCTTTAACTTTGTAGGGTTGTAGAAAGCTACAGTGTCAAGGCACAGGTCTCAGAGGTTGTCTTGGTCCTTCGTTTCTCTTGCAGATTCCCACAACTCCATGTTGTGTTCTGCAGGCTGCTGTTGAACCGAGTTCTGGCTGAGAGAATGGGAGCAGACGGGGAAACAGTGGTCCTAAAGAACATGCTCATTGGTGTCAACCTGATCCTGCTGGGCTCCATGCTCAAACCCTCAGAGTGTCAGTTGGAGGTGACCACAGAAAGGGTCCAGAGACAGGCAGTGGAGGAGGAAGGAGGAGTTTCCAACTACAACACATCCAGCAAAGAGCAGCCGTGGTCTTCAACCATGTGTACAACATTAATGTGCCCCCGGACAGCCTCTGCTCCTCAGGGCTGGAAGCCTCTGCTGAGCAGGAGGTGAGTGCTGAAGATGACACTCTGACAGAGTATACAGGCCAGACTTCAGACCACAAGAGCCAGGTCACCTTCACCCACAGGATCAATCTCCCCAAAAAGGCCTGCCCGTGTGCAGGCTCCACGCAGGTGCTGCAGGAGCTGCTGAGCCGGATCGAAATGCTGGAGAAGGAAGTGTCCCTGCTGCGAGACCAATGCAACACCAACTGCTGCCAGGAGAGTGCTGCCACAGGTAGAGTCCAGGGAGCTCACAGCCTGGTCCCAGGTGGGGAAGGAAAGGGCTGAGCAGAGAGAGACAAGGAACCAGACAGAGCAAAACGCAGCATCTCTTCATACACCAAAGAAAAAATATGCCCAAGTCTGTAGCTCGCTCTCTCTCAGTGAATGTGTGTAAGATCTAAATGCAGTCTTTCCCTGGGGATTCAGCTCAGGGATTCTCTACACTGCATAGCCAGTTTGAAATACATTAACCTGATTTGGGAGGGATGAGGCAGGTAATGGTACATCCGTTCAACACAGCAACTAGATGGCAAGCAGAGAATTTGATGTCTGTCTTCATTCATCTTTGGGTTTCACAAGCTGTTGAATTGATATCCATTCATGTCAACATGAAGGACTAGACAATGCAGGTGCTCCGTTCACTCAATCATAGCCTTTCTCCCATCTGAGTAAATGGTAGTCATTACGGTCTCAGTGGACCTATCCCCATCTTCCCCAACAGAAGTTTTGTCCCTTGCCCTCTCCACAATCACACATACATGTGCTCTCGCACATGTATTCACATTGCTTATCCCACCCCTCAAAGACTGATTGTTCAGGAGATATTCTTCTAGCCTTCTGACCCCCTGACTAGTAACACTTATGAGTTATTATCTGTATCTTTCTGCAAGGCATGTTTAAGTCTACAGAACCAGACTTCCTAAATTCAGATCTGCTATGCTACTTCCTACCTTGTGACATAACCAACTTGCATAGACTGTGCCTTCCTTTCCTCATATACAAATGGTGACAGATTAGAACACTGAGTTATTAACTATTACCTAATTAGATAAGAACCTGGTTTCTAGAAAATATCATATAAACAGTAGATATAATCAGCTGAACCTCAGTCAGCTTCATGCTCAGCTTTCCCCATCCAAAAGATTCCTTAAGACCCAAGCAATTGGGTTCTTTGAGAAGAAGTAGCAACCATTGTATTGTGTTGGTAGCAAGTGTTCACTCCTGTGGCATCTACTGTCTCAAGGCTGCCTTGGAGATGAAAGCAGGGTGAAGTTTTAATGGATGCTGCACGGCCCACAGCTTCAGAGGGGACATCAGACTTGTTCTCTCTGAGCAAGATGAGAACAAGTCTTTGAGTAGTGAAGCATTTCATGGGTTTTTCTCAGATTGTCGACAACTATCTGAAGACGAGGAGAAGAAATCCAAATGTTCAGTCTTTTGTTCTTTAGTGAGCACTAACAGGTCAGTTCTCCTTTTCAGTGTAGCTGGAGACCAAGGGAAAGTCATAGGTTTCCACAGGCAAGGTCTCATTGCTGCTCAGGTGACTTCTGCAAGAGGTCTTGCAGAAGGGATCCACTAGGATCTCTGGCAGATTGGAAGAAAATCTACAAAGAAGAATTCTGTTGAGCAATGTCAGAACAGTATCTTTTCAGGCCATGGGTGCTGCAAGAGGCAGCAGAACTTTCTAGACTGCACTTAATTAGACTTTACATCATCAGGACCAAGAGCAAAGAAGGATGTTGAGCAGGTAGGCATTCAGTGTGTGCTTGTTTAGTAAGTATGTTTAGACAGATAAATTAACCATCATAGCTATACTGCAGTAAGGGCTGGGTCACAGATATACATAGAATCATGAAGGAATCCCAGCAAACAATAACTGAGAATGAACTTCATGGAAGGCTTTGAAGTTACCTTGTTGCTGAGGTTTGATGAATGAGCATTCAGGAAGGGAGGGAAAATGGGTTTGTTATACACATGACCTTCCTCTGTGCTCAGCCTATATCTCCTCCAGTTCCTTGCAGACCTGGATGTTGCTATTAGAGGGCTGCCCTCAGTCTGCGGAACCCCATGGCCTGACAGAGAGAAAGAGGTCCTAGAATTTCATGTCCTCTGCCCACAGGGAGGTGTAACCTTCACTGTTTCCAGAGTACCCTGCAGGATTGAACCCAAGTCATTCTCCCTAGGACATCCCTTAATAAGCAACCTGGCTCAGGCAACTTCATTCCAGATCTTTCCCTGTTCCCTACCAGTTTTTCCTAGGAACACATTCCAATAAGTCACATTTACATGAATCTTCATCTTAGGACCACTTCTAAGGAAACCAACCTATGGTACCCTAAAGGTGACATCCTGAAGGACAAGGGACCAGATCTTGCCCATCTTTGTCCCCAGCATTGTGCTAGGCACACTGAGTGAAGATATTTATTAAGTTGAATATGTGCCAAACTATGATCAGAGGATAAGAAGGGGTCTCTGCCCACCCCTCCCCAATACCATTTATAGGAGAAGCAACTGCTGCCCTTTGACCTTCTCCTTGACCATTCCAGGACAACTGGACTATATCCCTCACTGCAGCGGCCACGGCAACTTTAGCCTCGAGTCCTGTGGCTGCATCTGCAATGAAGGCTGGTTTGGCAAGAACTGCTCAGAACCCTACTGCCCACTAGGCTGCTCCAGTCGGGGTGTGTGTGTTGATGGCCAGTGCATCTGTGACAGTGACTACAGCGGGGACGACTGCTCTGAACTCCGGTGCCCAACAGACTGCAGTTCCAGGGGGCTCTGCGTGGATGGGGAGTGTGTCTGTGAAGACCCTACACAGGCGAGGACTGCAGGGAGCTGAGGTGTCCGGGGGACTGCTCAGGGAAGGGGAGATGTGCCAATGGTACCTGCCTGTGCCAGAAGGGATATGCTGGTGAGGACTGCGGCCAACGGCAGTGTCTGAATGCCTGCAGTGGACGAGGATACTGCCAGGAAGGGCTCTGCATCTGTGAGGAGGGCTACCAGGGTCCAGACTGCTCAGCAGGTAGGAAGGGGAGCACTCTGGGGTGTCTGGCAAGTGTAGTCCAGCAAGCTAACTGGACATCTCCAGTTAGTCGAGGAAGAAGGATGAGAGGGAAGGTTAGTTTTAGGCAAAGTATCTCCCAGTTGAGTTGTATTCATTTGCTTTCCAAGACAGCTGGTTTCTTGAGTCAGTAACAATTGGTGAGGCAGATTAAAAGGGGAATCAGAAAAGGTCAGCTGAGAGCTATATCTTTACCGCAGAGACTAGAACAAAGGCAATGGTAATAATAGCAACAACACCTCACTGTCCTTGAGGTGGGGCAAGATTGTGATTGTCTATTTTCTGTTGCCAGTAATACAATACCTCAGACTGGGTAAATTATAAAGAAAAGAGGTTTATTTTGGCCCACAGTTATGGAGGTTCAGGTCAAGGGACAACATCTAGTACTAGCTTTCTTGCTGGTGGAGTCCCAAGGTAAGGCAGGACATCACATGGCAAGAGGTAGGAAGCACTCATATGTCTCTTTCTTCTTAGAAAGCCACCAGGATTCAATCATGGGGGTTCCATCCTCATGATCTTACCTAATTCTGATCATGTCCCTAAGACCCTGCCTCTCAACTGTGATCCAATTAACTTTTCACTCTCTCAGCCTCTCACAATGGGGATTAAATTTCTTGGGGGACAAACTCAAACCATATCCAAACCACAGCAGGCAGAGAGTGAGGTCATGGGACAACCTTAGGCAAGGCCATTCTGTAATTCACAGGGATTCCAAGAGTTCCACCTGCTCAAAAACACCTCCCTCACCTGTTGTACCAGGATACCTCCTTTCACAGTGCTACTCAAGGGTTGATGGCTAGTCTCTGAGGCTCTCTGGTTATCTTGGAGTTTACAGATTGCAAGGTGTTATTAATGTATGAAATTATTTAGTGTTCATGTGAAGAAAAGTATTTGTAAACAAGAAATTAAGTGTAAACATGAATAAAATACTGAAACCATTGACCAAAAACTACTGTACTGGCAGTATAGAGTATTAAAAGGGTATGACTCATTTTGTTACAGATTACTGTAAAACAAACAGGAACCAACCCCATAATTAGTCTACACTGTGGAAATTGATAGAACAGTGGTATCCTACAATGGCACTCTAAGGAGATTTAAGTCCAACAATGAAAGAGGTGACAATATCTCACTAGGATTGATTTTGGTTTTTTTGCCCCAATCAAATTATTTTCATTATTTCACTATGGCTCATCCTCCTCTAGCTAAGTCGGTGGCTAGTGCTGATACATGCACTTTAAATAGTGCAGATTAACTAGTTGATCTTTTCCATTTAAAGTTCAGAATGCCCCAGGGAAATTTTAAAAATAAGAAATAACATCAAGCAAACATTTTAAAACTTTCTAATTGACCAATTCTAGGAATTTTCTTAAGGAGAAATCCTGGGAAGCCAGCTTCACAAGGCTTCTGTTCTTCAGTATCCTGCACATTTGACTTCAAATGAAATTGTTTTAAAAGATCAATTCCAATAATGAAATGAAAAAAACCAAAACAATAATCTACTGCTTATGAAAAATATTTTTATGGTTTTTTTCTATATTAAGTTTTTTCTATATTCAATTATTTCATCTAGTCTCTCAGTTTTATTTCCCAAATTAGAAGACCTTCCTAATAATATAGTCATTATACCAATTGTTCCAAAGCAAAATTCAAGCAAAAGTTAAGCCTTGTTGTTTCTGAATCTAAAGCCACCAGGCAGTTGCTCAGGACAGCAAACCTAAAGTACAATCTAGTTCCCATCCAGAGTATGAGGCTCCAGGAGGCCCATCCAGACACTAAGGTCAGTTTGGCCTGTGTCTATGTTAATGCTATTCCATAGCACACATTCTTCTTAATAGACTCAGTGTTTATGGGCCTCCATACCTGTCATGTTTTTTACCTCCTTTTCTACCAGGGTGTGTCTACTGGCAAACAACATCTTGATCTGATCCAGGGTCCAAATTGAACTGGAGATAAATCCTCCTGGTCACATCAGGAAAGACTCAGCAGCTGTTAGTGTAGCTATGACTGGGTAACGTCCAAACTGCACACATGTTACTTCCAACATATTACCTCTGTGCTGCTTGAGGAAGACTTCTGGAAGCCCAGATGAATTACTTCACTGGTTCCTAAAGAATGTGAGGAAGGACAGTTGTATAATCTCCATCTGTTTCTATAGCAACCCTGAAGCCACCTCTCATTGCAGGAAGTACTATTCTTAATGCCTGCCTTTAAAACCAAATGTCACAGGTCTCTTCCAGAGAGGTATCTGCGTCATTATCTAAAGTGCTACTTTGCTTGCTGTTTGTTAAAAGGCTGTAGGAGAGGGGGTTATTTACCTACTGTTTGACATTTCTGGCCAGGTGCACACAAGGAAACAATACTGCTCCCTTTACCCCCAGAAGTGCAGAGAGGGGATAAAGGGTCACGAAGGTGAAAACATCGCTACAAAGTAGACTTTCTTCATTTTCTCTTTGTCATGGAAATGGGAAATAGCTTCCCACTGCGTGGATTTCATTCTGAGGTTCCCTACATCCCCAGTGCTTGAATGCAACTCACTAGTGACAGCAAAGCTGCTACATTTGACAACTAGCCTTGATCTTTGCTCTTGGTGTGCCATGGAACACAATCCAAGCTTTCTACCTCCATTCTCTTCCCATGTAAAGATAATAGGAAAAAAATTAAATTCATGAATATATAGCACTTACAACAAGTCTTAGAAAGAAGCTACTCTTATTTTACTATCTGTTTTACAGATTTTAAAAGCAGCAGCCCAGAGAGACAGATTTTCCCAGAGCCAAATAGCTCACTAAGGGCAAAGGAAGAATAAGAACTCTGGTCACCCACCAACTTCTAGCACTTTTTAATCCTCTTTGAGATGCTAAATTGAACAGAATTGAGAAATAAAAATTTGAAAGCCTCACGCGCAAAGAAGTAGCCTTTTGATGCAAAAGCTGAGCCCTGTCAAATGATTTAAAAAATGAGTTGTTAGACATGGAGTGGAGAACCAATGGAGCTATTTGTCCACATCTGTCCCCAGTAGTGGCAGTAAAGAAGCCAACCAGTGAGCTGGCAAAAACTCCCTATGAGTAAGCAGGACAAAAGAACCACCAGAATAGGGTCTTAAAACAATCCAGAAAGCTGTTTCCTGGACTTCAGAAAGATCTGAGGAGACTCATCAAGGTCATGGTCTGCTTCCATCAGCACTGCAGCCAGCCCAACCTCTGGCACCGAAACCACTTGATCTTTGAGCAAGGCACAGCATGGAACTAATTCCCACTGTTCTGACCATGTAACTGCAAGATCTAGAAAGTAAACAGCATAATCTCTTTGCAGACAAGCAACCCCAATTCCTAAAGCCACAGTTTCTTCCTTTCTTGCAGCTTGCTCTTCCCTAAGTTTCAAAACTGGAACTCCAAAGAAAAGCCACCCACCATAAGCACATTGAACCAAGGCATGCATCTCTTGTACAGTTTATAGTTCAATGTCATTTTGGTTGGTAATGATTACTGACACCCAGTGTGCACAGCCACTGCAAACTTATGAGGCAAGTGGTGATGGTGTCCTCCATTGTGCCACTGATCCCAAGAGTACTTGCACTATGAATGACACAGGTGCTGCTTTCTCTGTCAGATACGAAAGTAGCATTTACCACCAACTCAGGCCTTAAGCTAAGTTGCCAAGATAAAAACTTCTTCTGCCCTCTTTTTTGTTTTTAAGATTCTAAAATATTTTGCTTAGATTACCCTCCATTGTCTTTATTTTCTGGAAGAAGAAACCAAAAAGGAATACACTGACTTGTATCACATGCCTCAATAGTTAGCGGTGACTGAAGATTTGGAATCTTTTGTCACTATGATAGGAGAAATCCTGTAAAATAAACTTAAAGACGGTGTGTTGAATCACAAGAGAGAAGCATTAGAAAACTTTTTGAAAAGAGTTATCTTGCCTCTAGGATAAGCACCAATCTAGAGAGCACATCCTATAAGATGGTTTAAATTATTCTTGATGTAATTTTCTTTTAAGAGCCATGTACAAATGAAAGGAGTCATCAGATGCAATCTATAGTCTGCTCTATAGATTGTAGGAAAAAGTACTCTAAAGGTTGAAGATATGAACTTGAGAATCAGTTCTTGTATGACCCACTTCCTTGACTTTTGATACATTCCTCCATCTGGCCTGAGATTCCTCTTTGTAAAGCTGAAATAACTGTATCCACTTGAAACTCTCTCCTAGGTCTGATGCTAAAGGATTTTTTAAAACTCTAGCTGGGTCGTGTGTCTGGCATGTTTTATAAACATGAAATTCTACATGAATATAAACTAGAAATGCCTGTTGGTTGGAGATTCTAGAGCCATTCTTCCTGGGTTTAATTCCTAGCTTCTGTGTTTGCTCACTGTGTGACCTGGTATCCTCAGCTATAAAGCAGGTTGAGATGAGATAGGCCATGCTAAAGTGGCTAGCATTGTACCCGCTACATACCAAATGCTCAGTATAATGATGCCAATTACTGAAAGGTTTTACATACCAACTCTTCTTCCCCTTAGTCCAGGAGTCATTCCATACACAATATACAGGCTACATTATTAATGCAGTTCACAGTTTTAATAATGTCAGAATTATAAATGATACAATCTTCAAAAATATCATTTGAGAGTTTAATTATTTAAATTTCATTTATGCTTCTTTAGTTTTGTAAACTTTAATGTTTGTTTCAGTTAATATTCCCCATCTTCAATCAGAGGAAGCTCTGCTTTTTAGACTGCTTTATACAATGAATGGTTTGGGGCAAAAGCAATCAAAGCAAATATCTGGCATCACAAATATATACACTGCTGATTTCTCTCCTGTGAATCTGGGATAAGTTAAAGGACTTCTCACTTCTGCCTTTGCTGAGGATTTGAAATTTCGCATGTGAGCACCACAAGGAGGTAGAGACTCTCCACTCTTGTGGGCTTGTAAAACACAGGTGGCCTAGGGCTACTCGTTTATAAAGGTGAAAGGGTGAGATTACCCAGAGGAGAAATTCAAAACCAATGACAACTCTTAAGCCAACTAAAGCCTCCACTACATATAAGCATGTAGGTTAATTATGACCATTTAAATATTGGCCTGATCTTTGATTTAATCAGGTCCAATTACAGACACACTGGAGTTAGCCTCCTAATTAGTCTTAAAGGTTCAATTATTTGATGCCCATACTATTGGTGAATCTTCACTTCCCAAGGGAACTATAATGAAAGACTATTTCAATGTGGTTTAACCTTTGGTAACTCTGAGTAACATTTGAAAAGTCAAACAAGACAGAAAAGCAAAGCTCTCAAAAATGCTTCTTGATCATCATCTCCAAGGTCAAGGCTAATAAAAATTAGTTTAACACAAGTTACATTTCCTTAAAACTTAAATGGTCTCTTTTAGAAGGGAAAATGCTACAATAAAGGACTTCTAAATGTTTTCATCAGAACATGGTTATACAAGACTTAGTGTTTTGGCTTCTTTATAATATGCAAAATAACCAGGACTGAGTCTTTATTTCCATTTGCCGAATAAGATATTGGCTTTCAGAGCAATCTTATGACAGTAATTTACTCAACTACCAAAACTTTAGGTTTGTCCTATGCTGTGACAGAACTAACACCTGGCTGTCTGAAGGAAATAAAATTAAAGCCTGCTGTATAGCACTTGCCAATTTCCAAGGTGTAAATATTTTCTCTATGGCTGATTTCAGAGTACCAACCTGACATCACTTAACATAGAGCTGGAACAGATGTGCAATAGAACACAATTTTATAATATTTCTACAAGATAGATACAACACACAAAAATTACCTTAAGGGCCTAGATAATAGTAAAAGATAGTGAAGCGATGAGTTTTGGTATTTTTTACTTTTATTTTAATGTAATTTGCTTAATCATAAGTGTATAAAATTTCATCTTTAATAATTACCACACATAACAACAGCCTTGCAAAATTCCTGAAAATTTGAAAATCAGCTTTTGCAAACTAGTAAGGAGCCAACTCTAGCACAGCACTAACTCATGGCCTGATAGAGTGGGGTCCAAAGCACAGCAAAGTCAAGAACCCATTACAAATCACTCAAGCCACAGAGTCGAGCAGAACTATAGGCATGACATAGGGGGTAAGATGTGAAGAAGAAAGTTGAGTCCAGGATGGGGAAGGCAATCCTCTGAGCTCACGCTGTCTGTGTATTGCCTCCCGGTAGTTGCCCCTCCAGAGGACTTGCGAGTGGCTGGTATCAGCGACAGGTCCATTGAGCTGGAATGGGACGGGCCGATGGCAGTGACGGAATATGTGATCTCTTACCAGCCGACGGCCCTGGGGGGCCTCCAGCTCCAGCAGCGGGTGCCTGGAGATTGGAGTGGTGTCACCATCACGGAGCTGGAGCCAGGTCTCACCTACAACATCAGCGTCTACGCTGTCATTAGCAACATCCTCAGCCTTCCCATCACTGCCAAGGTGGCCACCCGTACGTACCATTCCCCCGTCCTGCTTCATTTTTCTTTTCTCCTACATGAGATCATGGGCATTCATGATAGTAGTGTCTTTTCTTAATTCTTCAGGGATGCCTGCAATAGTTTGCTCTCAAAGGCAAGCGCTTCGTGTGTGACCCACTTAGAAAAGGGTACATCATTAAAGAAGATACTTCTGATTAAGAGAGTTTCCAAATTCAGGCAGCTTCCATGAATTATAGAACTAAAAGAACAAAAAGTAATTATTGTTACTGACTTGTTATAAGCTCAACTCTTATTAGAAGTCAAGTAAAGTATGAGACTTACACAGACTTTGAATCTAGTTAGGAATTCAAAACCAAAAGATATGAAATAGGATGGTATGTTACAGATAGTAAGTGTATAGCAGAGTGAGAAAAAAATTTTTATTTAAAACCACAGCTGACAGCATCTAGTTCTCATAAAGAGGTGGCATAATTTTTTATGGCATTTTGTTTAGCAAAATGTCTTGATGGTCCATTTTAGTTATAAAAGTTGAGGTTCTTAGAACACAATTGAAAAAGAGTCAATGGGGGGATGAGAGAGAGAGAGAGAGAGAGAGAGTCACCAAACAGGAACACAGAGCAATCTAAATTGTTCACCATAAGAAATGGATAGTTTAGGGCTGGTGACATGGTTCAAGTGATAGAGTACTTGCCTAGCAAGCATAAGACCCTGAGTTCAAACACCAATACAATAAAGAATTTGTATAGTCATGTGTCTATGTTTTGTATTTTTTATTTAAGCATAGAAAATATGAAATATTGCTTACTAATTATTAGCATTGTTTATGTTAAGGAGATAGGAGAATACTATTTTTTTTCTTCATATACCCATGAATGCCTCAGTTGTCACAAAGAGCCTATATTACTTTGGAATTTCAAAAGCCAACCTGAGGAACTTAGATGAGAGAAATTTCCAGTAGTTTGAGGGGCATGCTGTACCCATGTCAACCCAAGTCTATTGCAAAGCCAGCATGCACACAAATGCCTGTGGGCCTTATGTGAGAAGTCTTTTGCAGATATCAAATGTCTGATTAAGTTCTGGAAAGAGAACTTCGAGAGGAGGTGAAGTCTGAATGATACAGAGATTTTAGGAGTAACAGGAGACTGGAACAAGAAGTATGACCATGAAAACATGATTCCTTAGAATTCAGAAAGCCCCAGACTCATAAATGGAATTTATCACCAAATAAAGAATAAAAGATTCGAGCCCAATTTATGTAGGTCTCAAATAACAAAATTGTATTTGGATAACAAATGCCATGAAAGTCCAGAAACAGAAAAGATGAAATATGAAGAGTTGGTCTTGAGGCAGAGGACTTGAAGTGAACTTTGAAGGATGTAAGCATAGGGACTAGCAGGGGTCACAGGACTTAGAAGTCATCTTGTCCTCTTGCTTTTCATATAACAAAAGTCCTGTGATAATATTGGAACCCCTCCCACCATGAATACTGACTGTGTTAATATGCCTATAATTATCTGTTTATATTTGACTTTTTTTTTTTTTGCTGTTGTTGTTAATTCCTCTGGTGCCTGAGAATTAGTTTTAAATATCTGCAGTGACAGGGTGGAGGCAGGTCACCATCTGCTGCCTTTCCCACCTTGCTTGGGGATGAGTCACCACCTTCTAAGTACCTGGCCCACTCTGGAGAGCGTCTCCTCTCTAATCCACATGCCCAGGCAGTGATGAGGTTTCCGTCTCTTATAGTGTTTATTATGCCAATCCAGGGCATCCCTATAGGCAAGCTCCCAGGTGACAAGGACAAACTCATGTAAACTCAACTGGCATGCCTTCACATGGCTTCAGAATCAGCCCCAACCAAGGAGCATGAAGAAGCTTCTCAACAGGAAAGATAATGAATGTGTCAGTTTGCCAATGGGAATAGCCCATGAGCGGCAAAGCTAAAATGGGAGCAGGCTCCCTGGAGAACTGAGAAAAGTCATGCTGTCATTTTTCAGGGCTGGTAATTGGAACTCCATTAGGACAATCATTCTTCCACCTCACTAAACCTGTGCATGTATATGTGTACGTGTATGTGTATATATGTGTGTATGTGTGGTTGGGGAAAAACGGTTGGGGAAAAAAAGAGAGAGATTAAGAGAAAAGAAAAATGAAAGGTCAGTAAGGATGAGAAGAGAGACTAAAGAAGGAAACATTGGAAGAAACTGAAATGACAGCCAAACTTCTGATATCTGCCATTGTCCTTTGTGTACACCTCTGCTTCACTTGTGTACACAGAGTGGGAAATTCAGACCATCCTAGATTCAGTGATTAGAGCTAAACAAAATACTTTCAGCACACATCAGATGATCAAGAAAAGCATCCCAGCTTTACTCTGAAGTTGACTCTGCCCACATCTATAGCCAGCTTCTCTGCACTTGCCTTTCCTGTGTGTGAAATGGGAACATTGATATTAGCTACTGCATTGCCTCCCACGAATCCTTCTAAAGACAGTGTTTGTTTGAGTTCTTTGAAGAAAGCTTTTTATCCAATGCCAAGATTTGCCACATGAGTGGAGAAAGGAAAGCACAGTCTTCAAATTTTAACATTAACATGTTCTATTATGTAATAGAAAGCACAAAAGAAAAGTACATTTGTTCAGTTAGTTCACGTATTGCACCAATACTGAGCACCAGGACCACATTTCAGTGGGCCAGTCCTGCCCCTGGGACTTGCTGTGTCTGTAGCAGAATTAGGATTGTCCACCACACCACCACGCCAACAGCACAGAGTGGGTTCACAAGACAGCACCAGGCAGCGTTCTCTGTCTCTGCTGGGGATGGCTGTGACATTGTCACCCACATTGCTGTGTTCCAGATCTCTCTACTCCTCAAGGGCTACAGTTCAAGACGATCACAGAGACCACCGTGGAGGTGCAGTGGGAACCTTTCTCATTCTCCTTCGATGGGTGGGAGATCAGCTTCATTCCAAAGGTAACAGTCTGCTGTTAGCCTGCTAAACAGCCTGAGTTAGAGTATTCATAGCCTTAGCTTGGAATCTTGAGCAGCAAGGAAGGTACTACCCATTATCTCTCCCAAAGCCATTAAAGACACAAAAAGGCATTTTGTGAGTATCTGGGCCATAGAATACTTGTCTCACTCACAAAGACCTGAGGACCAACTGACAAGAGTGACCCCAGCATAGCACCTGTCCTTGGATGTGGAAAGGTTGTAGGGGGCAGCCTTCAGCTCCAGTTCTCTGCTGAGACAGCTCCAGGATTCAGAGAGTCATAATTCCAGTGAGTATGAAAAACAGACCCTCAAAAGATTGGGGCTTCTCTTTAGAACAAAGGAAAAGTCAAACAGAACCAGTTTCATGATCAGTTCACAGCTCATTTTTGCAGACAGACAACCAAAATTCAGCTTGTGTGACTTCAGTCTCTAAAGCATAGAGATATAACACAAAACATCTTGGTTTTATTGAATTATTCAAAATGAATTTGTAGCCTATTAGTGAAACAACACTTTTCCTAAACAAATTATTATTTAGGCCAGACATGGTGGCTTACAGCTGTATTTCCAGTTACACAGGAGGTGTAAATATGAGAATCGTGGCCCAAGCCAGTGTGAGCAAAAAGGTGAGACCCTTCTCAAAAAAGAACTAAAGCAAAAAAAAAACTAGGGGTATAGCTCAAGTGCTAGAGCCTAGCAAGTGTGAGTCTCTGAGTTCAAACCCTAGTATGACCAAAAAAATTTTACATTATTTAGTCTGTGAATTTAAAAGTATTTTTATATTCCTCTCAACTCTTCAAAGCAGTATTTTATTTTATTAATCCTGAAACTGGGGAGTTGGTACCAGTGAGAGGGAGCAGGATATAAGGAAAGGGTGTAGTGGAAATATTATTTACTCATTAATGAAAATGGAAAAATGAGACATGTTGAAACTATTCCAGAAATGGGAGGGAGGGGAGAGGATAAAAGAGAATGATGGAGTGGGTAAATTCAGCTATGACGTCTTGTAAGAACTTTTGTAAATGTCACAATGTACCCCCACTACAACTATAATAAGACAATAAATTTTTTTTAATCTTGAAACTGTTTCCAACTTGCCAGAACTGCCTGCCTAATTGTACTTTTCCAGAATTTGTTGACCCTACTGATACTAACTATAACTACCATTGATGGGGTATGAACTTCAGCTATCCTCCTTCCCTCTGTCTTCATTCTTCACCATGAAGGAGTATTTTTTCTGTCATTCATCAGACTTAATGATGAAGGATACATTTTTGGCTAACTAGACTATCATTTTACCATTCTCTTGCTCCAAAATTCTTAGAGCCATGGGCTGTTGGAGTTACAAAAGAGCTTCAAGCTCTCAGATTATGACCCTTCATTTTACATTTACAGATTTGTTTAGTTTGTAGAGACCAAGCCTCAGATAACTTAAATAACATCTTATACCTACATGGTACCAGGCTTAAGACAAAGCCCTGAGTCTCAGTTGCTTATTCCAGGGCTCTGTTCACTAAACCTGAGTATCCCACCCTCTTATGTGGAAGTAGTCATGTCATAGCAAGCTAAATATACCTAAACAGCCTCTACAAAAACATGGCAGTATCTGTCTTATCTAAATTAGAATGGCCAACACAGAATGGCAGGCAACTGGGCTTAAAACAAAATACAGAGAATCATGTCATCAAGCTGCTCAGGCAGCAAAAAACAATTCAAGGATCTCCTGTTTTACATATAATATGCAAAACACCAAATAAGAGATGGGATTACAGGGACTCCAAAATCAAATACCTACATGGAATTACTGCTGTGTAGGTTTATCACACTGACTTATAAAAGTATGCGTATGAATGATGTATAGGATATAAAATGACATAGAGACCAAGAACAGAGAAGAAGGATAGTGCCACTAGAAGGGTCCTCTCGTATCCTCTGTTTCCAAAAACACACATGGAAGATGTATGATTGATAGGTAGGTAGACAGATGATAGGCTAGAAAGACTGATAATGGATCCTGGATCCAGCATCATTGAGTTGGCCTTTCTCATTTCTTCTTCCACTGATTTGTCTCCTCCTTCTCTCCTTTGCATTATTCTTCATTCCATGCTTCCTTTTTCTTTGCATTTCTTTGTTATTCCACTGAGTTTTAACTCATTTCAATGAAAGAAAAACAAGATACTGACAGATTTGCACCCAATATAACACCATGAGAAACTCCAAATATAGCAAAATAATATCTTTTGTTCATAGAAAAAAATCTGGTAATGTCTTAGTTTGAAATATGTAGTAGGTATATACAAAGATGTTTACACACATACACATACAACTATATTTTTCTAAATAACCCAGGACATACTACATATCACAATGCCAAAAAAAGTATAATATACTTTTATAACGTTATAGTTTAACGAACATTTAGTTTTTGGCAAGAGCCAATCCACCGCCTCATGACTAAATTTTATTGGCAAACTCAGAAAACTCAGGAGAGGCCAAGGAAATATTCTTGAAAATTGGTTCCTTTTAAGCTTGCTGGGAGTTGTTCCTGGCCCCAGATATGCAGCAGTCAGCACAAAGAGAATAGACACTCCCATTTTTCCACACCTTTGTATTTCTCTCATCAGATTTCTCTCTGACTCTTGCTTTCTCTGCTTCTCCCCCCTATCTAGAACAATGAAGGAGGGGTGATTGCTCAGCTCCCCAGTGATGTTACATCCTTTAACCAGACGGGTCTAAAGCCTGGGGAAGAGTACATTGTCAACGTGGTGGCACTGAAGGAACAAGCTCGGAGCCCCCCCACCTCAGCCAGCGTCTCTACTGGTGAGTGACTCTGACCCTTTCCCCCAGGGCTGCCTATTAGGTCACTCAGGAAAAAGAATTGCAGAATTGCCCAAGGAGTGGAAAGGCAAAAGAGATGCCAGCATTCCCCCCCAGAGCTGAGATGATGGGTGGATACTCCTGGAGATGGACCACTATACCAGATGCTTCACTGATCAAACCCCTTATTGCTCATCCCTGCAGGCATAGACATCTGGGAATCTCAACTTTCTGTTGAGATTGCCAGTGTATATTTTCTGAACTTACTCATTAAGAAGCCTCATTTGTCAACTCCTAGTGTCATGATGTTTGGAACCAGTATGAGATTTGGAGAAAGTCAGCTAAACCTTCCCAAATCTCAATCTGTCTTAAAACAATGAGGCATGATACCTCCTTCATTGAGTCAATATGAGGATTAAATTAGATAAAGCACACAAAATGATTAGCATTGTATTGATAAGAGAGTTCTTAACACTTGGTATCTATACATATACTCAGAAAACATGCTGAGAAGTAAAGGCAGTGGGAGATAAACCATACAAAACCAGTAGGTAGAATTCAAGGTGATGACTTAAGGTGATCATTACTTCATCCCCACAGTTCATCTCATTCAAGATCATTGTATTTTCAAGACTGATCCATTACAGTGTCATATTTTGCCTGATTGTTTCCTTAGTTAACAAAAGATATTCAACTTCAGTGCTGTAATTAGCAACTGTGATACATATGTGTGTGCCCTCACCAAGAATTTCTCAAAAGTTAGAAATAGCATCTGACATTTTTTTTTTTTTGGTTCTCATTTAATTGATGGGAAAGCTAAGACTCAGAGGCTAAGCAACTTTGTCAGTAAGAAAAACTGAGACAGGTGAGTACAGTCTTGTTTTTCATAAACAGAAATTGATGCCCTAGAAAACCAGCCTTAAGTCCAGAACAAAAGATCAACTTGACCAGAAAAGGGAACCACAATACAATGTAATGAAATCATATTTATGGATCACTTTGGTACTTAGATCCAAACTACATAGCATCAGGTGCTGAGGCCTATTGTGGCATTAACTAATGCTCCATTCACTATGGGGATCCTAGGCTCAATGCTAGGATCAGGTGGATATCCGTTCCTTAATTATTTCTTTTCCCATGCAATTAACCAGGGTAGCTCTGTTTTGATCTGTTTTATATTTTTTATAGCCATTTAAGATTTTGTTCTTTAAAAAAAAGTTTCACTATAAAACCACTGTTCTAATCCAAATGAGTCTTAGAAGAAACCCCATGGCCCTAAAACTAAAGTGCTCCACAGGAACTTACAGAAGGCCAAGGACACAGCTCAGCTCCCCAAGGTTATGCTAGAACCTGAAGATTTAAAGTTGCATAACAAGCACTTCTGATATGAAATGTTTTGGGGCCCCATGATTGATGTTAAGAAAGCTAGAAAGAGAAGATGTTTCACGAGATGAGGTATACCATTTATAGTTAATTATTTTTCTTTCAAAGTATAAAGAGTACTTAGAGAAGGGAGTCAAATGCTATCTCAGTCTTATATTCATGCCATATTTTTATAAAATTTGCATTATTTTTTATTTGGAAATCCCTTAAGATTAAAATTAAAAGCTCCTAGAAATTCATGATAAAGCTAGGCAGATTTTTTTTTTTAGCTAAGAAAAAAAAGTCCAAATTAACATTTTGGCATCATGTACAAAATCATGGAAAAAAGAAAAACATGTATTCCAATTTACTTTTTGATAGAACTTGTTTAGAAATTAGGACCCAAACTGAAAGCAAGCTGATACTTCCTCAGTTGGAACAGGACATTACTACCAAGTGATCAACCAAAGGGCAGAATCCAAGAGTAGTGTCAAAAAAGATGGCTGGCTCCCAACTCTGTCTGCTGTTTTTAGGAAATGGTTGTTTAATTATTTCCTTCTGCTAAGGTCTGACCTACACCAACCCCCTCCTGAGAAGCTGAGTCCTCATCGGCACTCAGACTGGCTTCTTCCAGGCAGGCCATTTTATGAATGCAAATACAAGACTTCCTGCAGCTAGAGCCCTCTGTGCTACATAACACATTCTGCTATGGTCAACCCATTATGATTAGGGCTTTTTTGGATCTAAATAGTTGAAGGACAAAAGCCTTATGTGGTCATTTGCCTTTCCCTGAGGCCTTTTTGCTGTTTATTTTTCAAGAAGCTCAAGTTCACTTCCTCTTCCACCTCATGGATGAAGAGTCTCACCCATTCATTTCATTTACTCAACACTCATTAATGGAGTGTCTACTGTGTTTTAGGAATTACACTTCAACCACAGCTTGGAGGCCATTCACCCATCTCATAATTAAATTAAATGAAATAAAAAGACCCAGGTTATCTAAAACTGCTGAGTGCAGCATGCTGAAAAGAAACTGTTGCTCTGTTTCCTGCTAAATCACATGCCTACCTAAAATATGAAAAGCAGAACTTCTTTTTAATTCCAAACCAGGTGATTTTTCATTTTGGCTGGTGCTAGACCAAAAATCCTAAACCGCTTAATAGAAAACAGCCACAACTTAGGCTCAGAAAGAGGGTGAGGTACCCAGGAATGACTCACCTTTGAGTAGTTGAGGTACTCAAGGTTAGCCTGGGAGGCAGAGTAGAGAAGGTGGCTCATTATGAGTTGGTCAAAAAACAAGTCTTCAAGACTCTCAGGTAAAAAAGAAGGGTAGCTGAAGCAAAAGAAGATTTACAGGAAGACATAGCGTATGCCACGGGAATCGCAGGCCAGAAATGCACCTGGAGCTCAGAAAACACTTGAGTCACAAAATGGAACTTCAGTAATTGAGTTACTCTTTATATATTTCTAGAAGTTCCTATGGTCACTCATCTCTGCTTCTCTCTGCATAACTGCTCCGTCCTCCTTTCCCCTCTTCTCACCTCTTCAGTTCTCTTTCCCCTTCCCGGTTCTCCATCCCCTTTTCCTTCCCTCTCCTCCCCTCCCCCATTCCCTTCCCTTCCCTTTTCTCCTCTCCCCTCTCCTCTCTTCTTTCCTCTCCTCCTCCCTTACCCCCAAGTCAGATGCTTCCTATTTCTGCATTAATGTAGTGGTAAATGACCACAACAGCCCTGAGTGTACATGTCCAATACAAGCTAATCACAGAACCAGAGTTCCTGGTACAAGTTCAAGATTTTTAAAGACTTTTACTATGAATCACCTCCAGCCAGAGGGATGTAGTCACATAGAAAATGCAAACATAGAGGCTGGGCCCACTTTTTTTTAGCAGGTAATGAGTAATTCTCAAAGAAGGGCATATTATCCCTGCAGATATCTCATGAGGAGTTGAAAATACCATTTTCTATTCTCTTTATTTGGCTCTTTCCTTTTCTATTTGCCTTCTACGTTCCCTTATTCCCCCAGCCCAATATACTTTGGTATGAACAGTACACCAGTAAGTGCTGGTGCCAAGGATGGTGGGCCCTGTAAGAGACAGAGACCCACCAGTTTTTCCTGGCATCCCTCTCAGCTTCACAGTGTCAGAGGTCAATGCTCATGAAGGACAAGTGCTGGCGGGCCTCCTAAGCCCCCCCCCACCCCCCCCCGGCTCAAAACAATGCTATACCAGTTGGAGAAAAATACCCCACAAGAGGCTGGGGCCCATTTTATTCAAAGGAGCACATTCCCAGGTGTGTTTCATGTTCACACATGCAAATGTCTGTTGGGTTTGGTCCCATCTTAGCAGCTGGGTTGGCTGGATCTGGACAGGGACAACTTCTGAATACTCACCATGACTCCTTTGGCAACCAAGTTGGAATCTCAGATGTTTAGACAGTGTGGTCATCTCATAAATCTTTCCTTGGGGCTCCGTAAAGGTAAGAGCTGGGCAAGAGGCACACACCCAAAGCTCCACCTTCAGGTCTCTGCCCTAGTCCCTCCAGAAAGTAGTAGGTCTGAGTCTCTCAAGCCAGTAAGTGCCCTTCCCTCTCCCACACTGGCAAATGCAGACTGAAGGGCACAACTGTGTTCCTGTGTCAATTCTCTATTGCCAAAGTACATGTCCTCTGGGAAGCTACTTCCTCTTACAGTGTCTCACTTCCTCCAGCTGCACAATGGGGTGATCACAGCCATCCTCTTTGACTGAGGATGTATGAAAAAAAGGAGAGAGTTGATGCCAAAGGTTTATTTTTCAATTAACTCTATGTTCTATTTGATCCTTCTTATGCAGTCATTGACGGGCCCACACAGATCCTGGTTCGAGATGTCTCTGACACCGTGGCCTTTGTGGAGTGGATCCCACCTCGAGCCAAAGTTGACTTCATTCTCTTGAAATATGGCTTGGTGGGTGGGGAAGGTGGGAAGACAACGTTCCGGCTACAGCCTCCCTTGAGCCAATACTCAGTACAGGCCCTGAGGCCGGGCTCCCGCTATGAGGTGTCGGTCAGCGCTGTCCGAGGGACTAATGAGAGTGATGCCACAGCTACCCAATTTACAACAGGTGAGGTTGAGGTGGGGAAGAGGAAGGGAGGAGAGAGAGGGGCTGAGCTAACTGGTGGTGTCGTCCTGGCAAGAGGAGTGCGAAAAGAGTGAGATGATGTGTGCCTACACTTCAAAAAAGAAGTGTTGTAGCGGCCTTCTGCTGCAGTCCACTCTACAGTACAAAGGAAAAGCAGTGCGCTGTCATAAGGAGAGCTAGGTTCTCATCCTAGCACTGCTAGCCAGATCTGTGACTTAATATAAGTCTCTTCCTTCTATGAGTCTCAGGTTTCCCATTTGTAAAATGACAACTTTGTCTTGAAGACATTTCAGCATCCATGCTGCTAGCCCAATTTTGTGAGAGTTCAGGGAAGTTATCGTTTGCTGGAAACTGTTGTAGGAACTCTCTAACTCGGTAATGATTACACTACCATGACAGCACGCCTGGGCATTGGACAAAGCCCCACCTGTACAGTTAGAAGCTGACCTTCTGACTGAGGTTCCGTGACTCATCCTGCCACAAAGGCTAATGGGAGGCCTGATTCCCACCCACAGGAAGCTGAGTGAAGCTCCATGAATGCTTCCTGCCCTGTTGTGATGACCACTGACACCCTTCCCAACAGCTTCTTCTTCAGACGGCATCACTAACAGTCAGGAAAGGTGGAGCTCTGGGTGACTTACTCCTTGACTCTCTCAGTGTCCATCTGTCTAGCCAGCTAGTGGTAAGCAGGATAGTCACCATCCAAAGCACAGGCTTCCTGGCACCCTCGTGGGCTAGCCAGGGCCTGAGATTGGGTCTCTGTTTAATCTAGATTGTCAGTTTAGGCTTCTTTGTCTTGGGAAAGTCACATGTCATGGAAAGTCTCTGCCAATTCCCCGTTGCCCCAGGGATCAAAGAAATCTGATAATATCTGTCAGATCTAAGAACCAGCAGTTTCTGACAGAATAAAGTAGAAGAAACACTAATTCATATGCTCTTCCTTATGTCGTAGTATAAGATCCCGCTATGGAATGAAGTGAGTCCAGGGTCTTCAAGGAAGCTCAAGTACCCCTGCTCCATCCATGTTTTGAGCTATTGATAAATAAGGCAAAAAGTAAGATGGATGGATAAAATATCCCCTCAGCTGGAGCATGTGGTTTAATGTCACAGCCAGATGGATCTGCAAATTGAACAGCCACAGTGCTCCTGGGGTAGTCTGCCCATATAGCACAACTGGGGAACTACTCATGTTAGGACTTAGAGCATGGTGGAATGTGACTAGGGTCAGATCCCTGGGGCAACTGTCCCATGAGAACATGGGACAGCCCAAGCCCTGCTGAAAAACTCACCATTTAGGCAAGTCCATCTTGCCCTGCAAAAGAGAGAAACCAGGAATCATGATGGGCTCCTCTCACACAGAAGTTTCCCTCTTCAAAGCAATCAAATGTAGGCACTGGTGGGCTTCAGAAGGCAGGATTTTATTCTTCAAGAGACCCTTTAAAGTTTTCTCTCCAACCCTGTGCAGACTCCACTCCCTCACCTAGTGGGTGGGGTTTTTCACTAAACATATCTTGAAATCCCTAAAGACTGAGTGTGCTCCTTGGAAAAAGGGACCAAATTCTGCCCATTTCTCTTGCCTTCTCTCTTACTCAACCAAACCAATGCTCGGTTCACAGCAGCACATGAGGAGGGATCTCATGATATCCCTTCTTGTTTTGAACATTCAAGGCCAGCCGTCCTCCTACCCTCAACCCCCACACAGAACACCACTTGCTCAGGGTGGTATTATCTGTTATGGGCCAAAATCCTGTGTTCTTTTCTTAATTTCCAGAGAGTTTGTGTTTGAAAAGTGGTTTCTTTGTGCTCTACTCTGATAAGGAGTTTGAAGAGGCAAAAACAGAGAAGGGGGCTCTCAAGTGGCTTGATGAAAAACAAGTTCTTGATGTTCAGGTTGACAAGATGGAAGCAGGATTGGCTGGTGGCCCAGGAAAATTCCAATCAAAACAATTACATTCCGTCTCCTCTTTGCTCCCCCTGAGTTTCAGTTGGCTGCTGTGTGATTCTCTGTTTCTGGTTGCCTGGTGGATTTGCAGCTGTTGGGGTGGCTGCCTTCTCAAAGCAGCCTCTGCCTACTTCTCAGACCCACTCCTCTCTACTCCCTGAGGGGAACAGGAGAGTTGGGATGAGAAGAAGCAAACAGCTTTGCAGACAGACTCTCAAAGCCCAGGGTTGGCAGGTGCTGGTTGAATAATGAAAGGATACCCAGACCCTCACAGTAGGGCCTTCACTCATTTCAGAACTCAGCTTAAATTCAAATTAACCAAAGTGCTTTTCCAGGTGATGACTTTGACACTAGGAGTGCACTAATTGCACAGGCAATTAAAACAAAGATTTGCTTCCTGCATGGTGAGTGGGATGTTTGCCTGAGTCTTAGAACCATGCTGAAAGGGAAAGAACCCTGATGGAAGCCCATCAACGCCAGTGATTGGAGCAAAACCAGTTGAGGAAACCAGTGAGCCAATCTCCAAGTCCCTCCCCACCTAAGCCACCTCATGGGGGGCTCCTAGGCCCAGTTCTGTCCTCTGAAAGTCTTCTCTGAGCATAACTCTCAAGGCACAGAACTCAGCCACCAGATCATTTAATCTGAGCACCCATATCTCTCTTTCATGCTGTTAGGGATTGAGTTGTGTCCTTTAAAACAGTGTTGAAACCCTAATCCTCAGTATATATGAATGAATTTGGAAATAGGATCTTTGCAGATAGGCAACTTGAGATGAGCTCATTAGAGTAGACCCTAAACCAGTATGACTATGTCTATACACAGAGTCAGGTGTACACACAAGGAATGACACATGAACATTAAGGCAGAGGTACAAGTAAGAAATGCCAAAGACAGCCAGCAAGTCATTAGAGACTAAGAGAAAGGCATGCCACAGACTCACATTCCCTCCTCAGAAGGACAACCCCCTACTGACGCCTGGATCTCAGACTTCTGAATAATGCTTTCTAATGAGACATGCAGGTTGGGGTATCACATATGCCAGCCCCAGGAGACAAATATGAACACCCAGGCTCCCATGGTCCAAGCCCTCCCTGCTTGGCAGTGACTCCACTCCAGGACTCTCCAGGCAGTTCCTGCACAAATTCAAGACTGGATGCAGACAGCAGAAGAGCTTCCTGCTCTTGGAAAGTCAGCTGTCCTCATGATAGCTGTTTTCTTCCCCTCACCACCTCACCCCAAGCAACCTCAAAGCCCACAGCTAAAAAATTTAGTAAGACTTTAGTGAAGCCTTTTAGGTAGCTAACAAAACAGAGAACAGATAGCACACATTCAGTTACTTAATGTGTAATTATTGAATATCTGCTGGGTGTCAATCTCTTAAACTATAAAAAAAAACTAGATCTGGATTTACATGAGTGACATGCTAGTGGGGAAAACTGGACAATGAAAAGAAACATAATTTCAATCAGGAGTACTACCACAGGAAGTGAACAGATGAAATAGAGGGAGGCTCCATTGGATGGGGTAGCTTGGAAAGGTTTTTTTTAGGAAGCAACATTTTAACTAAGACCTATATGACCTAAGAAGTCATGTGAGGATCTGGAGGAAAGTATTCTAGGCACTCACCAGCCAGTGCAAAGCCCTGAGATAGGAGTTAGCTTGATGTGTTTTAAGAGGAGAAAAAAGGCAGTGCAATGGAGCCCAATGAATAAAAATAGAAGTATGGCAAAGTAATGGCTATGATGAGGAGTCTATAATAAGTAAGCAGAAGAACCATTTGATTTAACCTATGTCTTAGAGACTAGATGTGCCCATTTCCAGAGTTCACAGTCCCAATTCCCTCCACAGAGCCCCAACGAGCCATCTGTTTTTACCTCACCTCTAATCTGACAACATGTTGCAGAGACCAGCTCAGTTCTCACTTTAGTGGCGCCTTCTGCTGCCTGGCCCTCCTAGAGGCCAAGCTTCAAGACCCAGACAGAGCAAGTAGTTTCACCTCACCCCAGTTCTGAGACTCACCTTGCAAGTCCTCATTCTAGAAATGACCTCTTATAGGATTATTGACATTAGAAGTATTAGTTCCTCTAGAGAAAACACTGCCTCTTTCCACCAGGTATGGGCCCTGTGTCCAAAACACCAGAATCCACTGGCACAGATTCTACTCTGTGTTCTTATAAAAAGGTGGGGAGAGTTGTTTGTTTTTGTTTTTATTTGTGAAGTGGTGGTAGAGACCTGCTACAAGCATGAGGCCCTGAATTTAAACCCCAGTACCACAAAAAAAAAAAAAGAAGTAGGTACAAGTCTCAACCTTAACCCTAACCCTAACCCTGACCCTAACCTTAACCAATTTCTTTCACTCCAGTTCTATTCAGTCCACCATGAAGCCCCAGACCAGGCTCTTTCCCCAGCCTCTCCTTATGTGTGAGATTCAGGGTTGGGCTATCAGACAGTTCCCCCAACAAGCCTCTGTACCCTCAAGCTCCCCTCAGCATATAACCACTAAGAAATAACACACAACACGTCCAAATGCACAGTATCTGGCATACTAACGTACATAGAGAAGCAATATTTCTCAGAAAAATAGCCTGCAGAGACATAAATCTGCTGAAAACTTCCCCCAATTTACATCACTAAACAGAACACTTCTCACTCACAGCCTCTGCTTTCAGATTGATTCACAGCCCTCTGCTCTTCATAAGAACAACTGGGCCACACTTGCCTGGCATTGGCAAATTGCAACAGTCCACTCTAGGTTTCTCACAGCAAATGGCTGGTCCACTCCAAAGTAAAATTCAACTCTCAAAGACAGAAACTATTCAAAACTTTTTTAAAGTGGCAATTTTTCAGGACAGCACCTTATTATACTGCAAATTGTTTATGGTATTCCTCCCCAAAGGAGTCTTCTGGGGGAGAGAAGCAAGCATATTTTTGGAACTCAGCAAGAACTTCATAGGCAACATCAAGCCAGTCTGGGAACTGGACACCTATTTTTGCAGTAGGCACCATGTTACACATCTCACCTGCATTGTTTAATTTGTACAACAACCTAGACTATCAGTATTATTTGTCCCTTTTACAGAGACTGCCATCAAGTCCTTGAAGGTTGAAAGACTTGCCCATGGTCCCATTACCATGTCAGAGCTGGGGCTCAAACTGAGGCCAGACTGCAAAGCCCATATTCTTTCTACTATGTCTCATCCTCTAAATCTTAATTTTCCAACTGCGAACCTTTCAGCTAAGTATATACAAGGAAACTCAGGGAAATACAACCTGCAATCAGGTTGTATTAGAACTCAAATCTACTATTGCTCTATCCTATTTTAAGCACTTGGGTGTCACTCTTGATTTTCTCCTACTGGGGTTTCCCTCACTTTGTTTTTAAGCTTTGATATTAACTGGTTCGTTTCTAGTTTCTAGAACACCATTGGCACTCTTGGATGGTCATGGGGGAAGCATATAGAGCATTGATGTCCAACTCCCAAGTAAAACCCTCTGACCTTCCCAAGGAATTTGTCATAGCAGACCAAAAAGCTAAGGGGGAGCCATGGGGCTCACTAAAATGTGAAGCAAGGGGTCAGACAATACAGGTTCTCACTACAAAGATTTTTAAAATTCAAAATACACCACAAATATACATTATTGTGAGTGATGGTGATTCTGTCTAATTTTAGAAATTGATGCCCCCAAGAATTTGCGAGTTGGTTCCCGCACAGCAACCAGCCTTGATCTTGAGTGGGATAACAGCGAGGCAGAGGCTCAGGAGTATAAGCTTGTGTACAGCACACTGGCCGGTGAGCAATACCACGAAGTGCTGGTCCCCAAGGGCATCGGTCCAACCACCAGGGCCACTCTCACAGGTGAGTACGACTATCTCATGGGAGCATGATGTTTGCTGAGTCTACACCATCACAGCTCTCTCTCTCTCTCCAACTCAATTAGCCCACACAAATCCTATTGATTTAATCTGTTAAGTGTATATCAAATATGTCTATCAGTTGGCAATGTACTGCTATCACCTAGTCTGTTACTCTCCTCTCTTCCCTCAACCACTGTTAGAACCTGCACGTATTTTCTTCAGCTCTGTCTTACCCATTCTTCACCTCATCAAAATGAGGCAATCACTTCAAGAACATTTCTAATTATGCCATCACATTATGCATACATTCTAGGGACTTCCATTCCTCTCAGGTCAACAGCTCAGCCCTGCCTGGTTTTCTCTTCTCCCCAAGGCCCACCTCCTCCTCATCTCTGGTGTTCTCCATGCTCCTAGCCCACAGGTCCACTTCCATAGGCTCCTCAGACATGCTTCCCCTCCTGTCCTAAGGTGCTGTCCTCACTTAGTTCACTCTACTTTCCCTTTCAGTGTCCAGTTCACACCGCTTTGTAAGGAGCAAGATCAGATCACCCTGTCACCCTCACCTCTGCACTTTTTATTCCCTGACACACATGGGTATGACCATCTGTAGGCCCAAAGTTCCATGAAAGCTGAACCCTGTCTATTTTTGGTCATCCTTGAACCCCGCCCCCCCCAGGGCCCAGCCATGTCTCCTACACACTGGATCCTCTATTGATATTTCTTGAGCAAATGAATGAATGATTGAATGTGAATGGCATAATTTTACTATGACTGGGGTATGGACTGCAAGAGGCCTTATATACCCTATAAAGAGCTTGATTTATTCTAGAAAGTAGTGGAGAGCAGTGGGGATTTTATTTTTAATATATGCTTTGAGATAGGGTCTCACTAAATATTCAAAGCTGGCCTTGAACTTGAAATTCTCCTACCTAAGCCTCCCAAGTGCCACCACTACCAGGGAGAGATTTGAAATAAGTCAAACTGATGACTAGGTGTGGAGAAAGGAGGGCAAGGGCAGGGGCAGGGAGGTGGCTCGGAGGCTGTTGCTGGAGTCAAAGGAAAGAGGATGTTGTATGGATTGAGGTGGTGCCCAAGGTCAGCATGACACCTGGCTGGGGAATAATTCCTGTTCCCTGGTAGTGTGGGGCCTAGTCAGTGGTCTTCCTGTGCTACTCAGTATATGCCTCCAAGAAAACCTACCTGAGGGACCTCTCAAAAGGGTAGATACCTGCAAATGCAAAGCGAGACTTCCAGATGAAGGAGATGTGTGCAAAGCATTCATGGACCAGGGGTTGCCCATGTGCTCACAGAGAATTTTTTCCAAATTGTATTTTTTTATTATTATTGTTGTGCTGGGGGCACATTGTGACATTTACAAAAGTTCTTACACTATATTATAGTTGAATTTACTCCCCTCCATCATTCTCCTTTATTCTCCTTCCCCTCATTCCTGGAATAGTTTCAGAAGGTTTCATTTTTCCATTTTTACACGAGTGCATATTTCCACCATATTCACCCTCTTACACCCTTTCCCCATGTCCTTCCCCCGTCCCACTCGTGCCATGTCCCCAGGCAAAATCTGTTTTCCCCTCTTGTTCTCCATTTCTGTAAAAAAAAAAATAGACATCTCTGCTTGTTTAAGATAGCTAGATATGTGACATTTCCATATATGTATGTATTATAACCTGGATAGGTTCATCTCTTCTAGTTTTCTCCTTTTTACCTTAGTCCCCTTCTTATGGGGATTTAACTGGCTTAGAAATCCTATATGTATTCTTGTATAGAAAGTGCATCAACCATATTCACCTTCTTAACTTCCTTCTTTTGTCATCCCTCTTTCATAGGTGACCTCCCCTTAGCATGACCTGTTTTTCATAGTATTGTTTGTATTTGTGTCAGGCCTGTATTTCACATATGAGAGAAAACATGCAACCTGTGGCTATCTGAACCTGACTAACTACACTTAAAATAATTTTCCCTAGTTCCATCCATTTACCTGCAAATGACAAAATTTCATTCTTCTTTATGGCTGAATAAAATTCCATTGTATATAAATGCCACATTTTCTTAATCTATTCATCAATAGTGAGATATCTTGGTTGTTTTCCATAGCTTAACTATTGTGAATAATACTCACAGAAACTAACTTGTACCTTGGCTTCTTGCAAAAGCATTTGCCATTTTACTGGGAAAGGGACGCAGAGTACAGTGTATGTACAGTAAACAAGAGCAGTATAATCTAAGCTGTTTTTCTCCAAGCTGAAATCCCAAACCTCCTTGCCAAATTAAGCCAGTTAAAGTCAATATTAAAAATGCCTTTTCCAGACAGACACACTGCTGAAAACACAGCAAGGAGATGGGAAGATATGCTGACCAAGCAGGTTAACAGGACTGAATTAGACATAGAAGGGTCAGAACAGCTGGCATACAGCCCTGCAGAGAGCTGGAGACATTCACAAAAATTAAGCTAAACAAAATCATACAGGAATGATACAGGAGGAAACAGCCCATCCCTGCTTATGGCCACAGGGAGTGGCTGCATTGACAATTAGCAGTTTTAGAAAAATGATGTCTAGTTGTTTGGATGGAGGCTATGTTATAAAATCATAGAGAACCCAGTCATGTCCTGGTTATTATTTCCCACTATTGGAAAGAAAAAAAGAATAAGACTCTACATTCGTTGATTATCTATCTTTCTCCAGGCACCTTCACATAATTGTAGCATATTTAATCTTCACAATACCCTTACGAGGTAGATACTGTTATAATCCCGACTTTATGGGTGAAGAAACTGAAGCTCAAGAAGAGTTCCCAGTTTACAAAGCTAGCAAGGGCATAACTATGACTCAAAGCCACTTCTGAGTCCCAGTCCAAAAGCTCCCCTTCCCTGGCTGCTTCCACTAAAGAAGAGAGACCCCAAATTTAAATGCCACAGACCTATAAGGGATGGGGAAATTATTACTGAATAGTGGGCTTAGATAGATTGATATTTTCTGTTACAGTTGAGCTTGTATATTTCTCATAATTATCCCAGGGAGCTTACTGCCAGGGAAATTTATAAAGGCAAATAACTACCTGATTTGAGAAGGAATTGTAGACATGTTAAGGAAATCAAGTACAGTGCACTAGTATGCCAAGATGTTAGTTACAAGGACTGTTTGCCTCTTGCTACAGTACATAGGGAGAAAGAAAGGAGCATGAAGGAGAGAAGGGAAAAGGGAGTTTGGTTGCAACTCTAAATAGCTGTACTGTCTCCTCAACTTCCCCACCTGAATCTTACGAAGGAAACTTTTTCTGCCACCAAAGCTTTCATAGGACCCAGGGAACCCCAGTGTTATTTGAAGGCTGTGCTGTCTGTGAAATATGCGCAGAGTCCAGCCTTTGGGCTTGGATCCAGTCTCACCACTTCCTGTGTGAGTTGGGGTAACTGACCACCTTTATAAGCCTGTTTCTTCATCTATATAGGGGAGACTGACATGACTCCCCTCATAGTATCATCATGAGGCTTTAAAGAAGTTCAAGGTAATGCTGCGAACATAGAGGGTTGCTCAGTAGGTGGACCATAATGGGAATGCAGAGGTCTGTGAGCTGATGGTTGGTTTAGGATGACCTTCTGCAATCAGCATGGCACCCAAAGTCTATGTGGGGACCACAGTATAGGCATTACTGGAGAGATGTTAGAGGCCCCTTTCCCAGACCTGCTGAGTCACAGCCTGCATTTCAGAGCCCGGAGAAATTCATGAGCACACTCATTGGTGAAAAGCACTCATTTATAGCATGGCTTTTGATATCAACTCAGTCAGGTTTAAGATGTACAGCTTCATGAATGTGCATCTTTAAGCAAATTTCTCAAATTCCCTGTGCTAGTCCATTGGAGTTTTTTTATCATTACTCATCTCTGCAAGGTTCTGACCTGGGTCCATGGCAGCCCAGTCTTCCCCTGGCTCACATTCAGGTCCATTTTATTCCCACAGTTCACCTCTACCCTAAAACATGGGTGCCACCTGATTTACTATTCTTTGCAGAACCCCTGTAAACTCTGAGGCCACCATTGAAATCCAGGCCCTTCTTGACTCTGGAGGTTCTGAGTCATTTAGAGGGCTTGGAGCAAGCACACTCCTTCCTATCCCCTCCAAAACCCTGCTCTTTGCAACACAGAGCCCAGGCCAGCTTCTAAAATGCCATAGATTTAATAAATAAAATGAAGTAAATCAGGTGAAAAAAATAATAAAATAAAATACCATAGATTTCTCCCATTATTCTCTATAAGTAATGCCCAGAGAATTCCCTCTCAACTATAAATTTGTTTCTTAACAACAGACACAGTGACATTTTTTTCCCTGCTCTGATAGCTTCTGTGTCCTTTATGACAAGTCTTTTTTAGGCTCAGCCTCTTAGATTGGGTCATGTCTGCTTTGCTGTGTAACATACTTGGAGTCCCCAAGGGGTTCCTGAGTGCTACACAGCTTACAGGCTCAACAAGACCCCTCCAAGGTAGAACCTAGCACCATGCAACAGGCACAGGCAGCCCCATTGTGTTTTCTGACAATGAGCCATATGAAAGACTACTGGTAGAAGGAGCAGGGGAGCAAGGGACAGAAGGAAGGAGGCTCTGGGTCCCCAACTGTAATGTGATCAAAGAAATGGCCTCTCTGCCTGGGACTAAAGCGAGTTGTAAACTCCACTCTGGCCACTGTGTCAGAAAGGCTACTGTGGCACAGTATTGTACCAGGAGAACAGAAGTATATGCTCTCTCTCTCTCTTAAACTGGACAGAGGCCACATTGAGGATCCCTATGACCAGGAAGCTAGATGAAAGGAGCTTGTTGGTATGGTGCATGCAACCAGGAAGCCACCTCCCTGCACCCTGTACCTCTAGCTTCAGTTAACAGGCTGCTGATCAGGAAAAATACCAACCAACGGGGCTTAAGAAACCCAGGACCTACAGACATTACAATATGAGCATAGGACTGCAAGAAAACAAAGACTTACAGCCAGCCAC